AACTAGCATGGATAAGCTAGCATTAGCATTGGAGAGGCTAGCGACTAACATGGATAAGTTGGCATTAGCATTGGAGAGCTAGCTGCATTAGTATTGGAGAGGCTAACAACTAGCTTGGATAAGCTGGCGTTAGCATTGGAGAGGCTAGTGGCCTTAGTTTTAGATAGGCTCGCGACTAGCATAGAAAAGCTGGCATTAGCATTGGAGGTGCTAGCAGCGTTAGTATTAGAGACTAGCGACTAGCATGGACAAGCTATATTACAGCCGTTAGGCAGGATCAGCTGTTTTCTTTTTATTCCCGTTACTTTTGACCCTGTTGATCCTCCAGCTGCAGGAGGTTAATGACGATCACAGCCGAAGTTTTTCAAGTTAAAAATCCTCACGAAGCTGAAATGTTTCAGCTTGTTTTAAGCCCACGTCTCGGTCACTCTGAGAAGTGAAGTGGACACGCTGCAGATTTAGCAGCTCCAGCTTGTCTCTGCCTGCGTCTCATCTCCTTCCCGCTGTGTTACTGTATGTTTCTGTCAGACTGGCTCGTTTCCTTGGCAGTAAAATGATTTTCCTCAGCGGAACCTTTAGGACAGCAGAATAAAGGTCATTTCAGCAAATGGTGGCGGTCTGCAGCGCGTCTGGGCTCGACGGAGGCTGCGTGATGTTGCATCACCTCCTCTCTGCGGGTGACTTGTGTGATTTTAGAGTTACTTCAGTTGTACATTATTTATAGTGGAGGGCTGCAGGAGGGGAATACTGTCTGCAGAGCTCTGAAGATATCCACGGATGTTAACCAAAAGCAGAAACTCCCCTACAGGAGCAGAAAGTGACATTATCCAGGAAGAATCAGGTTTTGTTCAGTGTGTAACAGGATTATTTTATTCTTGTTGAAACGAGGTTAGTGCGCTGTCTGCTTTGTTTGAGCAGCGTGTTGTCAGAGGATCCCTGAGTGGCTCGAACTGGGCTGCAGGAAAAATGGGTCATGGTTGCATTAAACACTGGTTCTCTCAGAGAGGCAGGTCTGAACACACTGTTAGAAAGACCTGGACCCTGTCCACAAGAAACATATATGATACAATAACCTGCCATACAGGGCTAATTATGATAGAACTGTCAGCCGTGTTTCCCTAAATATATGATACAATAACCTGCCATACAGGGTTAATTATGATAGAACTGTCAGCCGTGTTTCCCTAAATATATGATACAATAACCTGCCATACAGAGTTACTATATCAGCCAGCTGTTTTCTTAGATATATGATACAATATCTTGCCATACAGGGTTAATTATGATAGAACTGTCAGCCGTGTTTCCTTAAATATATGATACAATAACCTGCCATACAGGGTTAATATAACAGCCAGCTATGTTTTCTTAGATATATGATACAATAACCTGCCGTACAGGGTTAATTATGATACAACAGCCTGCCATACTTTTGGATTATATGTTGCAACAACCAGCCGCGCTTCCTTAAATATATGATACAAAGACCTGGCTTATTTTTCAATCATGACACAACGGCTTGCCATACGCATTTAATTTTAAGCTGCAACAACCTGCCATAAAAGGTTAATTATATTATGCAACAGCCTGTCATATGTTACAACAGTCGGACATACTTCTTTAATTATACAGTGTGACCTGCCATATGTTAAATTCAACGACATGCCATACAACTTTTATTTTATGATACAACCACTTGCCATATATATAAGAAAATCATGGCTTCAGTACAGCTCCATATATTTACAGGCTTGTCGTGCTGCAGATGCTAGTTTTTCCAATGTATCAGAAGCTTTGGATCCTGTCTGACAAAAACATAATAATACTGCAGAAAATAAAAAAGATCAAATACTTCAGATATGTTTAAAACCAGTCAGAAATGTGAGAAGTTGAAGACAGTTTAACAGAGAATTCACCCTGTTGTCCATAATGTCCCATATCTTATAGTTTAATGTGACATAAAGATGTTGTTCCACTCTGTTGTTGGTTCACAGGAATATTTTAAGAAACAAGAAATAAAAAAGTTGTTTTGTAAAAACAAAATGCTGTAAATGGAAGACTCCCAGAAGTCGCACCTTCTGTTGTAGAAAGGTTGTAGCACAAAAAACTGAGAAAAAAAGTGTTTTTTTTTTTCTTAGTGCACCGCATGAGGACATCTGAGAGCAGATTCCTCTGTGCTTTTTATAACAAGCTGCTCCAACAGGAGCTGGATAAAAGATGAGAGTAAAAAAGAAAAAGACAGAGAGCCACACAGAGCTCCTGAAAGCTTTTTGACTTTTAGAAACGCCACGTGGAGCTGTCTGCTCCGAGCCATGCTCAGAGAGCCACTCTGAAGGCTTCTTAAAACCATAAAAAACAGAAACAGGAGGTGTGCAGCAGGCGGAGTGATGAAGAGATAAATGTTTGATGTTCTTATGAGAGAAGAACACGAGCTTCCCCACGACGGGGAGGAAATGAGAGGGACTCTCCCAGCTCGACCTGCTGCATCCAGACAGCCACACTTAAGGACCGACTGGCTCTGAGGGGATTAATATTTCATGTGTAGCTTTGCATCATGTGGAGAGACGGGCCGACACAGACTGCTGCTGCTGCTGCTGCTGACAAACAGAAAAACACTAAATCTGTTTGAGGAAAACTAAATGATTGTTCAGCACACGGGTTGTGTTGATTCTAACAGATAAAACATGAAGCTTTTTGCTCCTGGGCTCATAGAAACTGACATCATGAACTATATAAAGAGTCCTTCACAATAAATGTCACTTCCTGTTTTGCTGGTTGGTTGCACATCATCATCATCATCATCAGGCCGTCTTCGTGCGTCGATCATCTGAGGAATTTGTTGAAGCTGGTTTCACAATGTTCAGATACTTTTTCTTCTGTATGGTTTCCTTCAGGTGACTCCTCCCACAGTGTTTGTGTTGTTTCAACAGTTCATGATACCAAGTAAAATGTGGCTGGTATCAGCGGTACTGATCCGATACTGATACTTTGTGATAACACACWTAATGTGTCTGGTAAATCTTTAAAAATACACTGCAAAAACTGTCCACCTATAAGTTTTAAAACCTTATATCAGCCAAAAAGTCTTTTTGATCTTGTTTTGAGACTGATTTACTAAACAAGAACTGATTGTGTAAGAATAATAATCTTGTTTTCAGAATGTGTAAGACTATTTGTCTTGTTAGTCTGAAAATTTGACTCAAATTAAGTCAAAAATTTCTGCCAATGGAGTAAGAAAATTTTACTTGGTAAGATTCTTGAAATACTTGATTTGACTCAATTTTTTCTTATTTCGCGTGTGACAAACACGGACTTTAAACGTGAAGTTTTATAACATCCACACTGGCGAGGTGGGTGCGCCCTGCGCGTGTATCCAAAGCGTGACTTTTGCTGTCCTGCTGTTCTTATTGGGGAGGGGTCTGTGGGTCAGGGAGGGGTCTGTGGGTCAGGTAGGGGTCTGTGGGTCAGGGAGGGGTCCGTGGGTCAGGGTTGTCTGAGGAGGAAGCAGATGAATGGAGTTGCGCACGGGAACTTTTATTTAAGATTTAAGTTTTTATTTCAAAGGTCCTCATGGCTCAGCAGCAGCAGCAGAAGAAGCATAAATATTACTGTTAATAAAGCTGATGATAAAGTTGAATAAAAATCTAAGTCTGATTCTGAAGGTAAATTAAATATCTGACAGTGATCATTACACAGTGTGGCTCTAATTCTTCACTTCACCATCTGTGTCACAGTTTCACGTCTCCAAAATGAGCGTACACATGGGTCAGAGCTGTGAGGCACCGCACATTTTCACGTCAAGTTTGGATTTTATAAATCACAACCTTGGCGTAAAAAGTGGCGTACGCAAGTTTCTGGGCTCAAATTGTGCGTACACCAGTTTTATAAATGAGACCCCTGAACTCTAACCGAACCGTGGCCTCGGCCCAGGCTGGAGCTCCTGCAGCTGTCAGGTTTGTGTTTTTAGATCAGCTGTTTCTCTGAATCAAAACTGCCTCCTTCTGTCCTCCATGGTTCTGGTTCTGGTTCTGATTCTGGCATCAGATTGAGCTGAAGCTGCAGCTTCAGGAGGATCCTCTCATAAGAAAACCTGAAACCTGCGGCGCTTCCTGCTCGGGCTGCTTGTCCTTTAATCTGAAACCGGATCACCAGTTTGTGTTCACCAGATTAGGAGTGAGTCGGAGCGAGTCGGAGCGGGTCGGAGTGAGTCGGAGCTGTCGGAGCGAGTCGGATCGAGTCAGAACGAGTCAGAGTGAGTCGGAGTGAGTCGGAGTGAGTCGGAGCGAGTCGGAGCGAGTCGGAGCGGGTCGGAGCGAGTCGGAGCGAGTCGGAGTGGGTCGGAGCGAGTCGGAGCGGGTCGGAGCGAGTCTGAGTGAGTCGGAGCGGGTCAGTGCGGGTCGGAGCGAGTCGGAGCAGGTCGGAGCGGGTCGGAGCGGGTCGGAGCGAGTCGGAGTGAGTCGGAGCGAATCGGATCGAGTCGGAGTGAGTCGGAGCGAATCGGATCGAGTCGGAGTGAGTCGGAGCGAATCGGATCGAGTCGGAGTGAGTCGGAGCGGGTCGGAGTGAGTCGGAGCGGGTCGGAGCGGGTCAGAGCGAATCGGATCGAGTCGGAGTGAGTCGGAGCGAGTCGGAGCGGGTCAGAGCGAATCGGATCGATCCCACTGCAGGTCTGCAGGGGGAGAACTCAGGAAAAGAAAGAGGACTTTTAAAAGCTGCGGCCTGGAGAGTTTTTAGATCAACTTCAACAAAATTAATCTGTTTGTCAGCGGAAAATATGCTTTTTTAAAATAACTGCATAAATAAATAACAAACAGGAAACTTAGAGAAGATTTAATGTAAAGATTGTTTATCTGGAAGTAAACAAACGAACTCGTTCTGAATTTTAAACTTCTGCCTGAGTCAGAAGATGCCTCATCCTGGTTTGATTCCTGAGCACATTTATTTATTTATTTATTTATTTATTTATTTATTTATTTATTTATTTGTTTGTTTTCTGACAGATGATGGGAAGCTGTCTCTGGATGAGTTCCAGGCCTTCTTCTCTGACGGCACGCTGAACGAGGAGGAGCTGGAGAAACTGTTTCACACCATCGACTCTGATAACACCAGGTCAGCTGTGTGTGTGTGTGTGTGTGTGTGTGTGTGTGTGTGTGTGTGTGTGTGTGT